CAATGCTCGGCCACACTCCCTCTCAGCACTTCAACCCGGTCATCCCGGCCGGTGCCTCGGCCGGCATGTCGGAGGCCACCGCCTCCGGCATTCGTCAGCATCGCTTCGACCCCTACGATAACAACGGCGGGTATGTGTCGGCATCTCCCTCTTGAGCACCCGCTCACACTGGCTGCCAATTACTGACGGCTCCTGCCTGCTCCTTTCCCCTGCTGCTGTTTCCAGCTCGATTCTCGCCATCGCTGGCGAGGACTTCTGCATTGTTGCTGCGGACACCCGCCAGTCGACCGGCTACCACATCAACTCGCGCTATGCCCCGAAGGCCTTCAAGCTGTACGACATCCACGCACCTCGCTGCTTCCCTTGTCAGCTTTCCCCCCTTCTGACCCCCCCCCTCTCTCTCTCTCTCGCTCGCTCTCTCGCCCAATCCCGCGCACACAGCAACGAGACCGCTGCCATCGCCTCCTCCGGCTTCTATGGCGACATCACCAACCTCAACAAGCGCCTCCAGATGCAGCTTCGTGTGCGTTTGTTTTCTTCTCTCTCTCTCTCTCTCGCCTCCCGCCCACCCTCTGGAATTGTCGCTTTTGCTTCCATCCCCCTTCGCTCACCTCCCCGCCCCGGCATCCGTGTAGCTTTACAAGTCCAACCACCAGAAGGACATGCCGGTCACCGCCCTGGCGCAGATGCTGTCTGGCATGCTCTACCAGAACCGGTTCTTCCCGATTTATTCGTTCAACATCGTCGGTGGCATTGACGAGCAGGGCCGTGGTGCGGTCTTCCACTTCGATGTGGTCGGCAGCTTCCAGCGCGAGTGGTATCGTGCTGATGGCACCGGCCAGGCTCTGATGCAGCCCTTCCTTGATAACCAGGTTCGCGCGTCTATGCCATGCCTCGCCACACACACTCGCATTTTCCCTGCGCTCCCTTCCTTCTTCGTGCTCGCCACGTAACCACTCACATTCGTCACCATCCGTGTGTGCCTCTTTTTCTTCCCCCCTCTCTTCCCGCCTCCCCCGTCCCCCCCCCCACCCCCCCATCCACGCACCCACACACAGCTCGGCTTCAAGAACCAGCAAAACGTCGAGCCCAAGCTCCCGACCCTCGAGCGTGCCATCGGCCTTGCGCGCGATGCCTTCAACTCCACCACCGAGCGTGACATCTACACTGGTGACCAGCTGGAGATCTTCATCTTCCAGGCCGGCTGCCCCGTTCGTGTGGAGACCTTCCCCCTGAAGAAGGACTAAGCCAGTTCCATGTCCGGCTGTTCTGCTGATTGCTCTTCTCTCTCTCTCTCTCCCCGTATCAGATTCCGTGCGGCTGCATCTTCTTCAGCCTCGAGCTCTGCTCTTCTTCTCCTTTGCACTTTGGAACCTTGCCCCCTCCCCCTCCCGGTTGAGACGGCCTGTGTTATTTTTCCCATCGTGTGTTCCCCCCTCTCTCGTTCCCTTCCCCCCCCCCCCCCCCCTCCCGAAATACACTGTATCATATTGCCTTCACAGCCGGTGACTTTCCTCCATCCATCCATTCGGTGTCAATATGCGACAAACCTTCGTTCAGAGCGCAGGGGGGGGGGGGACCATTTCAAGTGGGAAATGTCCAAAGATCGATCAGCCGATTCCAGCCCCCGATCACGCGATCGACATATGACCAACCTCAAGGCGGTGGCCCCCGTCCGCCATAGCCCCGTTTCCAACACGGCCTCACACACACACACACACGCGCAGGCACGACACCCACGGACAATGGAAGATGGAGACCGGCATCGGGGCGCACCTTTCCACGGGCGTGTGTTTACCGGGGGCGGGGGGGGTGATCGACTGTCGCATCCGCTCCGCGCCCAATACACCGCCAGAGAGAACGCGGAGGAGGAAAACATTTTTAGTCGACCCCCATTTGCGATCCGGAGGCAGAGTGGCCAACGGCCTCACATCTTCTGCCTCCCCCCTACAGCACTTGATCCGGCATTCACCTTGCCGCCCCCTCCCCCCCCCCTCCCCCTCCCCCCCTCCCTCTCCTCCCCAACCATGACCTCTCCCACCACCTCCTCCTCGGCTCCTACCGCGGTCGATGCTCCCGCCGGCCCCGGGATCCTTGTGGCGCCGTCGGTCCTGGCGGCGGATCTCGCCTCGTTGACGTCTTGCTCGCGTCGGGTCCTGGATGCCGGGGCCGACTGGCTGCACTTGGACATCATGGATGGGCACTTTGTCCCGAACTTGACCTTCGGCCCGCCGGTCATCAAGAGCCTCTCCCAGGCCGAGGGCATGAGCGCGGCCTTCTTCGACTGCCATCTGATGGTTGAGCGGCCGTGGCTCTGGGTGAAGGACCTGGCCGAAGCCCGGGCTGACATGTTCACCTTCCATGTGGAGACGGTCCTGCGGCCGGAGCTCGACGCCGGGGCCGCCCCCGCCCAGGTGCCGGTGGATCTTTCGAATACCCCGCTGGAGGAGCTGGATCGCAAGGCGGCTTCGAGCCGGGACTTTGCGGCGGCGGTCGCCGCGCAGGTTGGCCTGACCACCGACTCCTACTTTGGCAGCCAGGAGGGCGCTTGCTCGGCCCTTGCCCTGCATCGGCAGATTACCAGCCGCGGAATGCGCTCCGGGGTGGCCCTGCGCCCGAGCACTCCCCTGGCGTCGATCCTGCACCTCTTCGATCAGATTGCCCGCGACACGGAAGACCCGGCCGCCTTCCCCATGGTCCTGGTGATGACCGTGCAGCCGGGGTTCGGCGGGCAGTCCTTCATGGATGACCAGCTGGCGCGCATGCGCATCATTCGCGAGTATCGCACCCCGGCCGGGACCCCGGTCGGCCGGCACATCGACATCCAGGTGGATGGCGGGATCACCGACCAGACTGTGGCCCGGTCGGCCGCGGCCGGGGCCAACGTTTTCGTGGCCGGGACCTTCGTCTTCCGGGAGGCTGACGCCGCCGTCCCCATTGCTCGCCTTCGCACGCTGGCCCGCGAGTCCTTTGCCAACTGAGCATCTTTTCTCCTTGTTCCCCTGTTCCGCGTCGAGCAGGAAGAAGGCAAGAGGGAGGAGCATGCCCCCCCCCCCCCCCACCCACCCTCCCCGGCAATCACATCTGCTTGTGTGTCCGGTCCTCTTCTTCCCTCCATCGAAATGTATCCCCCCCCACCCCCCCCCCGCGTCCTCCTTTTCCGTCCCCTTCTCTCTGGGCCCCTGTCGAGTGTGCCTCTGCAGCTGAAGTGCTCTTTCCCTATTGTGCTCTGTCCAGGCTCTCTCTGCCTCTCCCCTTCCCTCGGCCTAGCGGGAGGGCGGCTGCTCGCATGTTGGTCTGCGTGTATGTGTGTTTATATGTGTATATCGGCGGAGGGGGTTGCGTGTATGCGCGTGTATGCGTGTGCGTGTATATGCTTGTGGGTGTGCTCTTTAAAGGGCTGTTTGTCAGCGCGTGGCTCCTACACAGGCTGTCCGCTGTTGGCAGGCCTTCCAATCCTTTTGGGGGGTCGTGTGACGGTCTCCCCGCCTGCTTTCATTGTGTCACTCGCGACCAAGGGTCGTGAGAGGGGGAGGGGGCGAGGGGCGGCGGGAAGATGCGGGGAGGTGGGGCGCAGAGAGCCCTCCCCCGTCGTGACCCTTTTTCCCTGTGGCCTTTCCATCATTTCTCGGAACCCGCCCCCCCCCCTCCCCCCTCAACCCCCTGCTTGAGGGGGACCCGGCATGTGGGGCCACGATCGAGCACGGAGAACATGGCCTTCCGCTCACCCGGAGCCACTGTTGTCGACAGTGTTCATGGGCGTCGGCCCCGGGTAGGTGGTGGGCACCCAGGGGAAGGATTGTGCCGGGCTGTCATACCGCGGGGTGGCCACCCCAGGGTCCGCATGGGGAGGGGGGTGATGCGGCGGAACTCCGCCGGCGGCCGTGGCCTCGCCTGACAGGGCCTTCATGGCGGTGGTGGCTGCGGCGAATGAGGAGCCGCCCTTGGTGGAGAGCGGCTGCTCCGGGCCGGGGGGGCCGCCGCCGGTCAGCACGACCGCCGGGTCAGTGCCAGGGGGGAATGCCTGGCGAAGTTGCGGCACAGGGCTGCCCTCTGCTCCGCTCCCCGTGGTGCCATGATCCGCAGAGGGGGCCCGTAGGCTGGCGTGCAGGTGCATATGCGGGTGCTGGAGCATGGGCCCCATGGCCGAGGCTCCGGGAGCAGCCGCGCCCCCAGTGCCGGCCATCTGCTGCTGCAGTTGGAAAAGCATGTGCGGAGTGCTAATTTGCTCGCCGCTGCTGCTCGGAGTCATGGACAGCGAGGAGGTGGCTGGTCGGGAGGTCCCGGCCGATCCCCATCCCATGGGCTTGGGGCTGGCCGTGGTGGGAGCCGGCAGGAAGCCGGCCCCCATGGAGGCCGACCGCTGGCCAGCATCGGCCGCCGTGGAGGCCGCCGCGCCGGGGGGGATCAAGACCGGGGTCAAATCAACACCAGGGTGGGGTTGGTGCGTGCCCCAGGCCGCGGTCGTGGCACCGGGAGCCATGAACAGGCCTGGCTGGCCATTTTGATCGGCCGCATAGAAGTAGACCGGGGCCCCGGCCGGGACCATGCTCGGGTGGGCGGCTTGGAAGACGCCACTTGTCCCGGGCCCCGGGGCGAAGGGCGTCCCCTGGAAGTATTGCCCGCCCACGCTGGAGGGTGGTCCAGCCAGCGGGTGATTCATCGAGCTGACCGGCGCCACCCCGGGGTAGTATTGCTGGGCTGAGCGCCCGCCGACCGACGAAATGGCGGTCATTTCCAACGGCACGGCGCCAGAACCATCGAGGCCCCGTCCGGCGAGGAGCGGCTCGGCTGCCAGCTCATCCGGGCCACTGGCCGACCCGGCCGCCGCCCCGAGCCCCATGCCGCTGGAGATGCGCCCGAAGAAGCCGCGTAGGCCACCGCCCCCGGCGGTCGACAGCCGGCGCTTCTCCTCCTTCGGGTCGACGCCCTGCTTGCGTCCGGTTCGCGGGAGGCTATGGTCTGGGAGGGATGATCGCGGAGATGGAGATGACTGATGTGGTTAGGGGTGTCATGTCCCAGGCGAAGTGTCTCCCTCCCTTCCCCCCCCCCCCCAGTGTTATGAGAAAGCAGCCCAGCTCCGAAGAATGCACGGCCACCCGGCGGCTCGAGAGAGGTTGACACCACACGTACCGGGAGCACCCAGAGGATGTGCCTGCCAGGCATCATTCAGCCCGCCGGCCATCATCGTCGGCGGCATGCCCGCAGTGGGGGAGTCGGAATGCCGGTCGAAGCCCGGGGCTGACAGCGGCATCGATGGATGCATCGGGGCCAAGCCGGCCATCGGGAATGGCCCGGCCGATGTTGGCGTGGTATTCTTCATGGGCGGCGAGGTGCGGCCGAGGGCCGGATCGGGGGGCCCGGCACCGGGGCCGCTGTCCAGCCCGCCGCCCGGAACCCCGGCATGGTGCCCGCCGGGGGGCATCATATGCGACGGAGGGTGCATGAGTGAGCCGCCACCGCCGCCGCCGCCACCGCCGCCGCCGCCGCCGCCGCCACCGCCGATGACCCCCCCATGGAGCGAACCGCTCACGGGGCCGGGCCCGGCCAGGATGCTGGTTCCGGGGGTGGGACTCTTCATGACCTTGGTGAGCGATCCGCCCGGGCCGCCGATCCCGGCTCCGGCGCGTGCGCCCTTGCTCAGATCGGTCGGCAAGCCGCCGGTAGTGCTGCCCCGGCGCCGGGTCTCCCCGAGCTTGACCCAGGAATATGCCAGGGATCCGAGGATGCTGACGTTGAGGCCGATGAAGTTCGCCGGCGAGTAGGCATATTCGGCCACTTGCATGGCCGCCAGCCGGGCCGCCTCCAAGGCCACCGGGTCAATGGCGTTGGCAGGGCTGCCGACCCCGAGCGCAGCCATGGTCTCGGCCAGCTCAAAGCGCCCGCGAATAATGCCAGCATATGTGGACAGGACATTCTTCAAGCAGCCGACCTACGGGCAAGATGCCAAGGGCGAGCAGGGGCAAGGCCGCCGCGCGGTCATCCACCGGGCCGGGCCCAGAGGCCGGTCAGGGCGAAGCGGGTGTCAGCCCAGGCGCAGACGATGCGCGAGGATCGAGGGAAGGTCCCTCCCGCCCCCCGCCCCCCCCCCTCCCCTCCGCTGCTGCATCTCGCGGCTTGAGTGCACGTACCACAGTGGTGGTCAGTGGCGAGTTAACCTTCACACAGAGGTAGATCGACAGATTGAGCACCGGTCCCAGGAGGACAGACAGCACAAACATAAACAGGAACCCGGGATTGGTCCACTCGGCGTAGTTGAGGACGGCATCGATGTCGCGGGACGCATGGTACATCATGTACAGGAAGAGCAGTGGCAGGGAGAACAGGGTATTGTAGTACATGAGACTGGGGCGGACGGAGAGGGGGGAGGGGGGGGGGGGGACATTCAAGCGGGGTTAGAGCAGCACAAAAGGGCACACGGTGCGGGTGCACGCCAGGCAGCAGGCCCAGAGCGCGATGCGCCATATGGCTGGATAGGGGGGCCCCCCGAAGCACAGGTCGTACCCGAAGGTCCCGAGGCTGCGAGCATCCAGCTTCTTCCGTGAAGCCACCGCCGAGGCAGCCGTGGCCACATTGTTGATCGTCACCAGCAGGTAGCCGACAGCGTCGAACTGGATGTCGTCAGCGGCGGCCACCGCGGCTCCGACCACCATCAGCACCACGGACCAGCCCACGCCTGGGGCGAGGCCCGTCCCGGCCGACCCGGCGCAGCCCGACAGGGCGCACAGAGGGCGATGTGTGGATATGTCAGCAAGAGACCCCGAGGGACATGGAAGGGGCAAATGCGCGGCAATGCCGGCCATGGGGGCTTGGCCTCCTCGGCCGCAGGATGTACCCTTGGAAACGCGCGTGCCCAGCCAAATGCGCTCGGCAACAAGGGTCATTGGCACACTGAACCGGCGCAGCACAGTGAGCATCGGGATGGACAGGGCACGCGTGCCACCGAGGCCGGACACCTATTCGACCAGGGAGAATGAAGCGCGAAGGACAAAGCCCCAGCGGATGTAGCCCCATCCGGGGCACGGGGGTCCGCAGGGGGGGGGGGCGGGGGGGCGAGGGGGAAGATTGTTCCGGTCAGGGGAGCTCAGGGAGGTGCCGGCCGCGGCCAGACTGTCCCGGCCGAAGGTGGAGAAAGCGCATGGTGTGCCGTACAATGTTGACAATGTAGATGAGGGGCAGGGGAAACACATCGTGCACCACTTTGCGACTGAGTTTCGGATAGCTGAAGCGACACACGACCAGCAGGTTAGACTTGTCCAGGTGCGGGATCGATGGCCGAGAGTTGGCCGGCGGCCAAAGCCCGAAAGGGCCGGGAGCCTCCACTCGCCGGGGGCCACGTACGAGATGACGCTGAACAGGCGCAAAATGAAGAGCGTCAACAGGGCGACGATGCCCTGCGCCGCGGCCAATGCCGCCGAGCTGGGGAATTTGTAGGTCGCCAGCACCGAGCGGTTGGTGAACATGATGGCCAAGGAGGCACCACCATAGAGGACTGCCGAGCCCACTTGCAGGAAGGTGCGGGACTGGAATCGCAGGCCACACGGGAGCCGGTTCAGCGGGCATGGGAGGGCGGGCGTGAGTCGGCAGAACCCGAGTCAACGGGAGATGGCCTTTCGAGCATGCCACGGGGCTGCAGCTGACGTACCACCACCGGGGCGGTACCCGGTGTCTGGGAGAGTTTCCTCCCGAGTGGTGCGCCGGCCATGGGGATGGCTCTTGGCTTGGTCAGCGCGCGTAGGCGCGGGACAAGACAGGCGGACTTCGGAACTGGGCCTCACGTAGCCCAGGTGCACGCGCGCGATGCGGGCAGACAGGGGCGAGAGAGAGAGAAAGAGAGAGTGCGCGAGAGAGAGAAGAAGAGGGGAGGAGGGTAGGAAAGGCGGAAACGCCGAGCACCCGGACCGCAAGGGGCGGAATTTGGCGGTTGAAGGGCAGCAGACCCAGGAGCGGGCGGGAGGCGGCGAGGGCAGGGGGAAAGGGACACGGGCGCGAAGGACGAAAGGGGAGGGGGGCAGGGCGCAAGTGTTGAGTGCCCATGGGTCGGCTGCTGGCCGAGACGCCAGCTGAAGAGCGCCGCAGCGGCCGAGGCCATCCCAAGCTGTGCAAGGGCATGGGCCGATCCGCGCAAGATGCACACATCCTTGCACGGGGGGTGTCAACCGGGGGAGGGGGGGCCGCGGGGGGGGCGGCATCAGCCGAGCGGTGAGGGAGAGTTCTCACCCCCTCGACTCCAGGGGGGACAGTGACCGCGAACCTTGGTCATCCTTCCCCCGGGTGCTGGGGTCGGAGGGAGGGGGGCAGCGGGGCGGCGAGGCGGCAGGGTGAGGGGGGTGAGGGGGATGAGCCCCAACATCCCCATCTGACTTGAAGACAAACGCCACGCACCGGCGGGCTGGGGAAGTATCCGAAAGTGGGAGCACAGTCAACAAGCAATTAATATGGGGCCAAAATCCCAACGCCAGTCGGCACCGTGCTCGCAGGCCCAGCCACCAGCGATGTGGCACACGGGTGTTGGCGGCAAGGTGAGCGTCTATGGGCATATAGTCCCAGTCGGCGTTGTGGGATTAATCACCGTGCGTTTCGGGGGCGCCCTCACGTGTGGCCTGGGGAGGCCCCTACGAGCCCTGCCGCTTGAGCCATCGCGGCCAGCCCCTGTCGCGCACGCACGCGCGCCCAAGTCGCGATCAGAGACAGCCCACAGCCAGGCAGGATCCTTTGCCCCTCTCTCTCGGATGGCGCGCGTAAAACTAGAGACAGCACCCGGAAGATGCTAGAGGAAGGCTTCCAGGAAGCGGCCCCCTTCCTGGGCAGACACACACACACACACACACACACACACACACACAGTCATATGCCCAGATGCGATTCCCACAATGTGCCATAAGTAGGGGGGCCGCACACCCGCACTTCGGGATCTTTGATCGTCTGAGGGGCCCTCCTCGAGGCATGGTGGCACAGTGATGCGTGCGCGTGCGTACGCGCAAGTTCCCTCGCGCGCAGGAGGCCAACGACCAGCGTAGGTGGGATTGTGGGTGACATATTTAGTTGCCAACGGACAACTGACACATTGTGGGTTACTCATTAATTCTCCTGTTCCGTGAGGCCTCGCTGGCCGTGCGACCAGCAGGAAACCGGGAGAGGGGGGGGAGAGAGACAGTAGAGCGAGGCAGAAATCGGCCATGCGGGCCATTTGCTGGTCATCCTCGAGGCAAGTCGGCCCCATTCGCCGGAGGGTTTCCCGACAAACGGGCATGCAGCATGCTTGTCGGGGGCTGCTCACTGAGAGAACCGACTGGGACGGCGAGACATGGCTTGCCCTCGGGACCCTCTTTGCCGGGGGGGGGG